TGTGGGGTCCTAATTTATCATTTCATTAGATTTATAATTTCATGATCTTGATAAATTCACTTGGATGAAAAACTATTGTTTTAGTGAAAAATGTCATATTTATGGTGAGAAAATACTAATGGTCAAAGGTCTGACTGTCTTAAATCACTTGTTATATGATACCTTATTCTTTCTCAATATATATTATAGTCAAGTGGGTGCAAGGCTCTTTGAAATCTCAAGTAGGTGTAGCGTCACTGTTAACAATAGTAAAACCAATGTATCGGAACACCTAGAGCTCTTATCAGAACACCTCTCAATGTCAAAACTGCTTCTTGTCCAAATTGTGTTATCTCCCATTGACTCACATGTTAAAAACCTTGAATTTGAACATCTACTAATCCAAACACTTTTGGACAGTTCCAGTCATCGTGGGAAATTATGGCCTTCTATTAGATTCTTTCTTGTTCAAAAACAGAGGGATGTCATGGTCTCAGTAGAATTTGGATATGACAGATTTCACTGCATTTAAAAGAGGCAGGGGATCCATGCAGAAAAATATCAAGATGTTCACATGTAAAAAGTGAAGTAACCAGAAAATGAATGAAATTTTGGAGGAATGAGAGTAAAGACATGGTATCGAGATTTTACGACTTACTGAAATGGTAGTATTCAATTGGCTCGCGCTAACACATGCTGGAAAGGCAATTTGTTTCAAACATGCAAGGCAAATATATAAAGTACAAGGATGGGCCCCTATAAAATGGATATGAGCTTTGGTTTTTATTTGTCCAAAAATTCTTGATAAATAGTTGAAAAGTCAGAAGGACAAGTAAATGATTCCATATAAGCACACATGTTAGCCTTAAATCAGACACTAAATTTAGAGAAACAGTGTGTGGCATATAATATAAGAGATACTTTCATAGTTTTGAAAAGTGGAAGCATTTGGTTAAGAATCCTCCTTCAAGAAACTTTAGATCTTTTATCTTCACTTCATGTCATATCAACACCTCCGCCCTCCAGCTCATAGTAACATAACAGGCCTATTAAGCCAGCTTTTGCAAAGGGGATTCACTTTTGAAAAGCTCCCAGGGGTTCACTAAAATTTGGTCCAGAAATAGCCAAAATCACGTAAAAGTGCCCAAAATGGTGAAACACTGCATGATTTTGAAAAAGAGTTTGGCCAGGGGGGGTTACTTCAAGCTCAAACTCTCTCATTCTAAAGAATAAAAAATGCATGAAAAACAGATCCCCATTCATGATTTACATTTTTAGTCATTTTTCATTTTCTTTCCGCTTCATTATTTGATCAAAACTACCACAAAAGTTTTTAAGTATAATTGTTTTCTAATTGAACAACCATATATCCTAGATAAAAAAAACTAGCCAGGAAAAGAAATTTGTGATTTAGCTCGAAAATCTTATCTTTGTTCACAGTATAGTCCTGCAACAAGGCCTTTTGGGAAGGGAGCTTGATATGTAAGACTAACTTTTACCAATGAAACCCAAAGGGTAGCAGTGATAAATTAAAATCAAATGAAGCTCTCTTTTAAAGTTCTAAACAAATCTAACTGTTGGGAAGTTAGAATACCTGTAACTCTAGATTTTTAAAATATTCTAAATGAAATAATCAATTGCAGTTTTGTTTTAAAACTCAAGATAAAAACAATTTGTAAGTCTATCAAATGATCAAAACATCATGGCGAGAACAACTTAAAACTACACTTATCACGTGCAGGGTTACAGGGGAGAGCACGTAGATTGACAAGGGGAAAGTCAATCATATCACCAGTGATCTCCCCAGCATTAAAGCATGTGGGCACAGCACCCACCTGAGATTTTAAAAACACTACTTGCACCACCTGAAAATTAATTAGCACCCATTTGAAAATGAGAAAAATCATGAAAATGGGCATATTTTGACCAATTTCAGTGTGAACTGTGAAAATGAGAATTTTGCACCCACTTGAGGAAAAATCATGAGGAGACCAGTGATCACTGTAACAATCACTGCTGCATCACTGTCACAATTACTGACCAATTTCTGTGGTCCGAAAGGCAAAAGTTATCTTGGAATTTCTGACAACGGGCAAAACAAATGAAGCAACAGGCAAAATTATTAGATATCAGATTGTATGGGGTAGACACAGAGTGTTACAATTTAACAATAACGCACCGGGGTCGATCTCCGGTGTGGTATGGTTGCTCACCGTGGTAAAGATGGCTGTATCTTTGTTAGTCATATGAGAAATTATCATCTATCATGATAGCATTCTGATACTCATAGCATCTTTCAGTTTCACCTGAAACATGGGGCTGAGAAGAAATAAGATGTCATGGTTTATCATGATGCATGACAGTGATATTATCATCTCTACCAGGCAAAAGTTATATTAGAATTTCTGATAATGGCCAAAACAAATGAAACAAGAGGCAAAATCAATGGAAATCAAAGCATAGAAACAATTCTGTAAATTCTGTAAAATTCTTCAAAAAGGCGATCATTGATAAAAAAAAATTCAAATGTTACTCGCTGCTTATGATCCAAACTCTGGTTATGTCTATCTGCAAGGGTATCTGCATGATAAGTTGTATGGGAAGAGCCACTACCTGGTTAGGTCTATCTGCAAGGGTGTCTGCATGATAAGTTGTATGGGAAGAGCCACTAAGTTAAAAGTACTAGTCATAAAATCCCAAGTAGAAATCAACACTTGCTTAAAGTTATGTAACAAATGAGAAACAGTAAAATAATAAATTCTGAGCAATTTTCAGTTACGAATTCGTAAATCAATTGCTGTAACCATGGATACAATGACATCACAGTTAGAAAACAATGGACTTTAGAAGTATCTGTTTATGGCCCTTGTTTAGCATCATAATATAACACCTGTATATTTGGTTAATAAGATAGGCCTAGGTAAACTCTCATAAATATACCATTAATTAATTGAAAAGATCTCTCCTATCCATATATCTCATAAATTTAGATAAAAAGGGGTTCTGGAAGATTAGAAAGGATCCCAACATTGGCAGATCCAGAACCTGACAAGGGAGCCCAAATTTCAAATAAGACAAAAAATTTCTGCATGGAAAAAACTTAATCTAAAAATTGAGCCCAAATTTTGAAAATTTAAGGCCCATTTTTTATAGCTTGGCATATAGAGGCCCAAAAAGGCCAAGAAATGCCTAAAGAAGCCCACTAATTGAGGCCATTTTCTGGGCCAACCCATGGGCCTAGTTGAACAAGTAAGAGCTGTATTATCTGAACACTACTGAAACTGGCCAAAAATGTTCAAATTAGCAGGTGATCACATTTTGAGGGTTTTGAAGCAAGGCAGGGAAGTCTCTGACAGGTAATGTGACTGAAAGGTGTTCACAGACACAGTGAGAGGTGTTCAGATAAGAGAGGTGTTTGGACATACAGGTTATAGTCTAAAATTAAGACTAATGCCTCATATAAGTCACATTTGATATGTTCAGTAAATCTTTCTAATTTTCACATATTTTGTTATACATCAGTTTATCTTTCTAGATTTTTTACAAGGAAATCTGAATTTTAGTAGAAAAAATCAGTTGACACTGAAGTTCTACCTAAGCCAATCCATACCATTGAACACAAAGTTAAGCTCTTACAAAGGGTTAACTTACATTTTATTTCGATTGTTATTCAGAGCCTGGTATATTATCAAAACAAAAATTGGGAAGGGTATTACTTCATTAACTTTCTAGAATCATTCAGATACCACATATTTCTGTTTCACTAAAAACATGGCTGAGAAAAAATGAGACGCCACTGTTAATCACGATGGCCTGGAGTATAGATTGAAAAGATTCTTAATGACTCAATATCTCAAGAACCGTAGAGTAGATTTCTAATTGATCTCCTAATTATGTTTCTGAAAGAAAACATGAGACTGGAGATGTATAACAATGTTGAATAGGATGGTCAAATTGAGCCAATTATTAATGCCAAGGCTATACTAGTTTTAATAAACCCTGTGGATGTGGACCAGAGTCTAGAGCACTTCCCTCTGACTAAAATACAGAGTTTTAGGCTGCATTTTTTACATGATTTTTTTACATGATTTTTTGACCGAGAGCAAGATTTTAATCCTAAAAATTAACTAAATTGTCGTTAGATTGAATGATCCTTGCACTTTAAACAGCTAAATATTACGCAACCTTGCAACGGGGTCATACAAAAATATGCCCTCAATAACCCTTTGGAGAGCCTACCACTTCCCTCTGATTAAAATACAGAATTTTTATGATGAGGGCTAAAGGTACATCTATGCACCTTTATCCCCTGCCAGGACTATAGTCCTGCATTGAGAGCATTCTTTTGCCTGTACTATTACAACTTGGGAGAATTATCTACTCCCCTTACACTTAAGATACCTACTTCAATTGATTCCTGGGTATTTTAGCATTCTTTTCGTGTAGTTGAATCCACAATTGTCTGGGTATATCGGCAGAACGGGAACATTTTTCTTTTTCATCGAGAGATATTCCATCAATTTCCAAGATGGCGGTTGGATTTTAAAGGGGATTCCCCGTTTGACTGACCCGGAAGCACCAAAAATGGACGAGTTTGATGGTTGAAATAAGTTAAATATTACACACAAATATTGTGATTAAAAACGAAAATTTCTTTGTTCTGCCGATAAACCCAGACAATTGTGGATTCAACTACTGTACAAGAAAAGTCAGATTGGTGCAATGCCACAATCACCCCCCCCCCTGACTGAAAACAGAAATTTTTTAGGCAATAGCACCCCCCCCCCTCCCCAACTGAAAGCTGACTATGCCACTGTATCCAACACAGTGTTAGAGCCTGTGCAAGTATTTGTTGTGTTTTGAAAAAAAATCAGAGCAACAACTTGTTCAACTCAATAAAAAGAACTGTATCTTATCCCTAGGAGTTAACACATGTGGTAGGCTACACTAATTTAAGTGCAAGCTTGTGCTGCAGACCCACCCACTTTACAAATGTGGATAAAAAATAAACATGTTCTTACTTGCCAATCACCTCACAAAGTTCATACTCTGCGTCAAATAAGACTTCCTCTTCCGTCATCTTGCTGGATTATCCGTACAGTTATCCGCTTGCTGTATTGATAAAAACTACAGTAGTAATCCAAGGTACATTTATTGGGAAGTAAAATCCAGGTCAGAATCGGCACCCAAAATTTATTCACAAATTTGACGATAAAATAGCTTTCCGAACACTTCAGACACTCGTATAGTATCTAAACTTGGTTTATTTTTACTCCGATTGAAGTATATATCCAGTGATTAATCCAAATGAGAAGCTATCGAGAGTGGTTGTACTTTTACTGTGCAAGTTTTCGAACTTTCCTGACCGCCATTTATTTTGGGCCGGAAATGTCTATCGCGATGCATCATGGGGTTTATTTAGATCTTGTACTATGGCATACAAATTGCATTCGGATTTCTGATTTAGTTTTATTTAAAGATGGCATCAGTAGTAGCATGGGGTTTCAACAGAAAAGGCCGATGGTAGCCTACAGACTGTAGTCAGGGGCGGATCTGGGAACCAATAAGGGGGGGGGGCCAAGTTTCAGGGCCCCTAAAACCCAAAAGTGGGCCCAAATTTTGAAATTTTGAGGCCCATTTTCCTTCAAAATTTGGCCTGAAATTAAAAAATAAGGCCTTAAAAGGCCCAGTAATGATCAAAGAGGCCCACATTTTGGGGCTTTAAGGCCTTTTTTGGCCCACAATTTTTTGGGGCCCAATTTTTTTTCTGGGCTCACCCAAGGGGCCCTAATCCGCCAGTGGTAGTAGCTAAACCAAGGGAAAAGTATAAGCTCAATATAATCTAGAAGATCTAGTTTCCATATTGAGAGCATGGATTTCTAATCACCCATCATCATTGTCATTGAGAGAGCTAATATTAGGCTACCTTTTCCTTGGCCTATGAGTATATTAGTAGCCTAGCCCAAGGCCTAGCCTACACCCCATGCAGACTGAGTTCGCCTATTACGGGATCAGCTCATTATACCGACTCGTATTATACCGAAACCCATTATACCGACGCGCATTGTGCCGAAAACCAACATACCGATACCGAAATCCGTGCCAGTGGGACGGACACATGATTGCCATAGTAGATTAACCATAGTCTTAACCCTGAGTTTTATGACGTGCACTTCCGCGTGGGACTATATCTTTACAGCAGGAATTTCAAGTTCAATTGTCAGTGTAAACCAAATAAAAAGTTGCAGTCCTCATACTCGCGCGTTTTCAATATTTTCATTTGAAACTCGCAAGAACGGTGCTTTGAATATTATCTAGCTCTATACTCTTTCAAAACACCATGTAGACACATGATTAAGCTCATGTACATGTCATGTATGATAGTGACATTATATAGGCATAGAATAATGGGAAGTCAAATATGGTGCTATGTTGAAAAGCCAAGAGAAATTCTACTGTATCAGCATATAAAATAAATAGTTTATATATTACTTTACCATACACCTTGGTTCAAATTATACATGATTTTTTCATTGAACTCATTCTATAATGAGAATTTCTGGATTATTTCCGGTGTTTCCTTTTGTTGCTACCTCATTTCTCAAAGTATCCATGCCAATTTCTTGACTCTGTTGAAAGCCCAAAATGATAGAGCGTGGGAACCGTTTGTGCCAAATGCTACGGAATTGCAGCTATGTATGTTGTGTTTTCAAGTGTTATTTTATATATGTCCGACAAATCGAATTATGGTTACTATCTAGATGAATTTAACAGTATCTAGATGTCTCGTTCATTCATTTGACCAATAAAAATCATAACTGCCTGGAAAGTAATATGAATTAAAACGTCAAATTAAGAAGCAAAAGTCTTTTCTGGGTCACTGCGAATGGCATGATTTCCTCGAGTCTCTTCAGTTGCAAGGCAACCATACTGGGACCGATTCGCGTCGTTCCACTACTGCCCTTGGTGGGGGCCCGCTACCATACTATATGACTCCCGGAGTTTACTAAAGCACGTTAGTGGAGGAACCAACCACAGTCTCACAATCTGTCTCCAGCAAGAGCCGCCAGAGAACCAACCCATGCCAAGGGCCGGTAAACGGTTGGACCTTCGGACCGGGTGTCCGTAGTGACAATGATCAACAACTCCGTACCTGGGGCTCGAACGCGGGACCTCCGTATCCCACGACGTTCAACCGCAAAGTAGCCTCAGTCTACGCCACTAGGCTACCCTGCTTAGGTGTCAAAACTGCTAAAAAATATTGTAGTTGTTACAATTATTTGCTTGGATAAACATGATATTACATTTCTTAATTGATTAATCGTATTTAGTTGGAATTGAAGTTCGACCAACGATCAAGGAAATGCAATCAACAACTCTGGCAAATGTGAACGGGAGTCGTAAAGGCAGAAAGTACAAGAATCGTGATCAATGTAAAGTATAATATGATATCTTTGAATATCGGGTAGGAGAAACATTCCAAAATGAAGAAGAATATTTAGAACATTTGATTTGTTGCCAGTATATCAATTGCGTCTCAAATGAATGAAATAAAAGGTATCGCGGGCCACTAAAGCACATGAGTGAAAACAATTATTATTGACGCATCGCTCAATATAACTAGTGTTAGTGAATAGGTTTGTGTAGATACGTCGAGGAAAATAAGCTATTTCGACGCTTGAAATAATCTGATTACGCTTATTAATAATTACGCGTGGCTATTAAACACAAGTGTTGTGTAGAACAAAAACAAGAAAACTGAACGACCTATTAGAGTTGTTTCAAACTCGCCGACTTCGACAACAGAGTCCCGACACCGACTTGGTTACTGTAAATCGATACTGTAATTATGTATTTTCAAAGTTTATTTTTGAGGTTAATATCTACCTAATTCAATTGGATTGTTTCAAGCTTCCGACTATGGAACACGAAATGATATTTGTTGACTATATAATCAGAGGGACATAATATTCTGTTATGTATTCACTGGGTTTTTATTATTAATATATAATAATAATGATCATACAAGTGTGGTAAAGCTAATCTGACGATTCTGAGGAGGAAATACTAATGCCAAGTCCTGTAATAATTTTGGGCATTTTTTTCAATAGAAATCTTTCTTGGGATTTTAAAACTCTTCTGTGGAGTTCAGTTAGTGTCTCGGTTTTCTTCTTCTTTTTCTTCTTTGTTGGAACTGCGAGTTCCTCATCATGACCACTCGACATATTATGTGCGATATTATCCCGGAAATCGTCCATCTGCTGATCGTCATCCTCATTAAAAATGGTGACGTTTTTGTCTTGAGTTGACGTACTTGCAGTTGCAGCTTGGGTCTGGGCTTTTGTAGACTTTGGGGTCGGGTTTTTTACAGGCTTTGGGGTTGGGGCTTCCACAGGATTGGGAGTCTTCGCTTTGGTAGGCTGGGGGCAGGGTTTTTCCGCAAACCTCATTTCCATTTTCTTAACATCATCAATAGCCAATCTGAAACACAAGTCGGATAAAATTTTTATAAATAAGCAAAATCAAACTGAAATTTGAAAGTCTAGTAAATAATAGTACTAAAAAGAATGAAAAAACCCTGAAATCTCTTACTGAATTTCTGTATCTTTGACAACCTCCTTTCCTGTAACCAACTTCCCAAGCTTTGTAGAAAGACGGGTCTGTAGCTGATCATAGCTTGTTTGTTTGTAGTAACTCGACGTGTCTTCTGTTAGAAGATGGAGATTGTCTTTGATGGTATCGACAATTTCTGTCCAACAACATGGATGCACCAAGTAGCTTCTTAGTAAAAGTAAAACTTCTGGTTTCGAAAAGAAAACCTTTCGTTTTCTTTTTGTCAAGAGCGTAGGTTCTGAAACAGATATAAATTCAGTAATAAGGCTGCTGCAAGGCGAACGCGTGCTTTGATTTGCACAGTGTCATGTTTATTCTTCACAGCTAACGTGCCATTCAAACCCTGTAAAATGTTAAGCCCCACAGAGTACGTAGTTTTTATAATATTGTGGGATATACATGTAGTTTCTGATTTCATTGAATAAATAAACGAAACAGTAAACACGTACTGTTTTGAAATATCGAATGCATATTTAGAAAAAGCTGTACGATGCCTGTAAGTATATGAACGTACATATTTGTTTGCTAATTAGTCAAGTAACTTACCTTTGCTTACAGTTTTCGAAGCCATGTTACTTGTGTACTATTGTAAGAAGGTTGTGACACACCAGTGCACAAGTCAAGTAAATATATGAACGCATACGCATAGACACGTGTCACTGCCAAATACTCAGCGATGCACAAACTTGTCTCATGTTATGCCTGGGTCACATAGGCTCCGATCCATCGGCCGGCGCCCGGCCGATTGAGTATTTTGTTCAATATTGTATTCAATTTTGAACAAAATACTCAATCGGCCGGGCGCCGTCGTGAAAATCAGAGCAAATGTGACCAAGGCATTACTTGAAAAAATCGTAGTTTTAGGACCGAATGAAGCGTATGGGCTCTGGGCTTAAACAATGCCGTTACTGTAAATCAATTGCAAATTAAATTAGACCTTATGTAAAACGTGTAGTCTATCGTCTAATGATAAATGAAATAAACCTGAAAACCATTAAATGATGAATATTTGTCGAATATGCATTGGAATTTATCTAGAAATATTGCATGGTAAGTAATCAGTTTATCCGCAAAAATAAACTTTGAAAATACATAATTACAGTATCGATTTACAGTAACCAAGTCGGTGTCGGGACTCTGTTGTTGAAGTCGGCGAGTTTGAAACAACTCTATTAAGGAACTGTACTTCAGTTTCAAAGTGTTCAAGATATTTCCGCATGTTCAAAAACACCAAATTTATATTTTAGGCTATCCATATTTTTGAAAATAATTAATTTACACTCGCTACTCAAAATGAAGCATGGGCACAAGTACAGAGAATAGCCTGGTGAAGGCATCTATCTAATAGTGGCTTTTCCATATAGTTTTGAAATCTCGTTAAGGTCTCGTTTTAATGAGATTTTAGGAGATCTGCATTTTTAACCACTGAAGACTAACATTTTCTTCTATTTGAATTCTGTACGTACTAGTACGTACGTACTTTTCTATCAAGACAACTTAGTTTTTGCACTGTTATTTACCTTTATTTAAATTCTAGAGATTTTCAAGTTTTCTAAAAATGGTCGGGCTAAATCCCCATTGACACAATGTTGAAAAATCTTCAAAAGTTCATTTACTCTTACAAGGATCACAATTTTAATGTGAAATCACAATCCACCCATATGTCAATAATCATATTGTTACATTTTAATGGTGTTTTAAGTTGATTCAAACGGAATTACTTGTTAAATCAAGAAATTAAGTGACTCTTTTGTCATGTTATTTAGCCCTACCTATATCCATGA